GTATCATTGAATATTTATAGTAAAATTTATTTTTAATTTGTAATATCTTATAGGGTGTCATAGCCATTAAACCACTTGCGAATGCACTTCAAAGATATGCGCCTACACCAAATCATCTCACGAATTTGCATCAAATGTTTATTAAGGTATTTCCGAATGATTTATATTTATTATCATCAAAGATAATTGCTAAAAATCTTTTGCGAAATCACGTGTTTCTTTATTAAACAGGAATGTTTGTTATCAAGATGTTATAAGCAGGCACTTCCAATATTGAAGAATGATATTACTGAAATAGATGTGCCGGTAAGTAATTAAAAAGTTAAATAATATTTGTGATTCTCATATAAGTCTTTAAAGTTATTTAAACGTATTATTTTAGAGCACAGCAATCTTCTATACAGATCATTTGCTATATCATTATTATGGCGCGATGGTTTACATAGGATTAAAGAATTACGAACGTGCTCTTTATTTCTTAAGATTGGTAAAACAAATTTTTTTTTTTTTCTACATGATATTATGAGAAATCATTTATTAAATGACTTTATTATTATTATTATTATGAAGGTTATTTCTGCTCCTGCGAGTGTTACTAGTCAAATTCAAATCGAAGCATATAAAAAGTTTAGCTTAGTATCTCTTCTTTTACTTGGAAAGGTATTAACATTATTAACGTTTTATGATCTCTTAATTGAAAAGGTAATTAACACGGTTTATTTTCATATGGCAGATAGCTCCCCTTCCCAAATACACTGCTAGTGTAGTTTATCGTTCAGCAAAAAACCAATGTCAAGCTTATCAAGATTATGCATCTGCTTTTGAGAGCTTAAACGTAAAACGGCTGCGGAACGAGTTCACCAAATGGACTGACATTTTTAGAAAGGTACCAAAACAATTTTAATTAATATTGTTGTAATAATATTTATTAAATATTCCTTTTACTATATAGGATAAAAATCTTGGTTTAGCTAAACAAACTCTCAGTGCAATTTATCGACGAAACATTCAACAATTGACTCAAACTTATTTGACATTGTCATTGGCCGATATTGCTGATGCAGTGGGATTAGAGGGACGTGATGCACCAAAAATAGCCGAGAATTACGTCTTAAGAATGGTATTTATTTTATATTGACTATTTGTTTTGTTTTGTTTCAATCATTCAAAGATATTTTTTATAATAATAGATCGAATCTCGTGAGATATTTGCTACTATTAGTCATTCTCATCAGAATGGAATGGTATCCTTCCACGACAATCCTGATCGTTATGATACATCACTCACGATTACTCAACTTGAGGAACAAATAAACAAATCTACCACTGTGAGCGAACGTGTCATTAAAACCGATAAGCTTGTGGGATGTAGTAAAGAATACCTTACAAAGGTATGGATTTTAATGGATCAAAACATTTTTTTTGTTGTTTATTTAAAAATTAACCCTTCTTTTTTTTTAAGAGCCAACATATGCTTACTACAGGAGGAGCAATCCCAGGTGGACTTGGTCCTGGTGATGATCCTGATTTCTTGGGAGGCAGTGGTGGTTTTGAGCATTTCATTGATGATGGAAAATATTTTAGTTAAAAAATATATATATACGTCGCATCGATGATATGCGACTTCTTGAATTAAAAATAATGTTTCATGTAAAGATAAATAACATTTATTAATTTTAAATGAGCATGTTCATCTATAATGGAATTGTTATCACAAATTTCTTTTTTTGGCCGTTGATTTCTTGCTAAAAAAATATTTGTTGATAACAGATCTGTCTCAAATTGATGATTGCTCGATTATAATTTAAAAGAATAAAACATAAATTAATACATTGTACATTATGTAAAGTCTACTTCAACTAAAATTCCTTTCTTTTCGTAGCGTGCGATCGTTTCTTTAAAGCTTCTTTTTCGCTTCCACCAATTTGTACTTCAATAAGAACGAGATATACGTTACTTTATAGAATTTCTTAGTTAATTTAGTTGTTTTACCAAAAGAAATTTATATATTTATGTCGCGTAAATTTTAATTTTGAATCCGACTCTGTCCTCATAGTTTCTTTTGTACAAAAATTTGTATGAAAAAATAAATTTCGTTCTTTTTTAATATGGCGCGAAATTTTCGTGATCAATATCGAATAAGGAAATGACAAATTGCAGATCAATTTGATCATTTAAAAAATTTAAAAAAAAAATTTTTTTTCGTTAAATTTAGTTGAAGGAAAAATTATTTATCAGGATG